CGCGCGTCGGGCGCGCTGCTGGGGGGGTTCGTCCGCCGGCGTTCCCAGCTGGCGGCCCTCCGCGGGCGGTGTACAAGTGGCCCTTGGCCCCTCTCCAGCAGCAGCTGGAGCCGCGCCAGCGATGGCTGGGGCAAGTTGGGTCGGCAACATGCCCTCGTCGTCGTCGTGCTGTGTTGATGGGGAACCTGCGCGCGGTTGTGCAGCTCCCCACGATGAGGCGGGCTTGGACGTTGGGACCTTTTTCTTGTCACCCGCGCTGTTGTATGCCAGCGATACTGAGATGCCACTGGAGAGCGTGCAAATCGCATCAGCATCCGTGCGTCCTGCGGCCAAGTCGGCACTGAAGAACCATCGATGCCGTCCAGCACGGTGTATCTTGCTTATGTTTGCGAACCCTTTCTTGGCGGCCCACTCCTCCAAATCTTCGGGACCAACCCAAACGTCTGGTGTATTAAGTGTACACCAAAGTGGGAGAATGTCCGTACTAAATGCTTTGTCCGAGAGAACTCCCAAGAACGCGTCTTCTGATGGGCGGTAACATAATCGCCCATCAATTGTCTTCGCACTCGTCATCGCCCGCGTGATGTATGCTTCGGCCAGCTCGTCCTCCCGCTTCTTGAACCAGCGCGGGACGAGCTTCGAGCCCTGGAGATTCACGAACACACACCCCGGGAGCTCAACTTGCATGACCTTCTCCAGGGGAGACTTCTTGAGGGCCAGCAAGCACGTGATCTCGCTCTCATAGTTGAGAGCACCTTCGACCTTCAGCACGAGCTTCTGAAGGCCAGCGTCGAAGATGAGTGCTGCCAAGGCCACAGGCCTGTGGGCAGCACGCGCAAAGAGGTCATCCGCTGAGAAGCCCCTGGCGACCGTGAGCCTCACCTGCACCGTCTCGCGGGACCCCTTGTCCAAGGGCGCCCTCGAGGGCGCGAAGTTATTCGCGCTTCGCGGTTCGGCTCCGATTCCTCCTCATCCTCCTCTTCTCACTTGGGAGGCGGCGCGAGAGCGCGAAGTTATTCGCACTTCGCGCTTCGCGCAGCGCGAAGCGCGAAGTTGGGAGCCCTTGTTGTCCGTCGTCACGGGCACGTCATCCTGCACGCCGTCAGGGAGGCCCTTCTTCTTGGGTGGGGCCGCGCCCAGCTCCAGGATCAGGCACCTCTGTGTCACTGTACCTTTGCCCTGGGGGGCGTCCATCAGCACATCACCGAAGGCCGCACCCTCCAGGATACGCTGCACATTGAAAACGATGATAGTGGCCGAACGCTGCGCGCCCCCCAGGGCATCCAACCATCTCCCTGCCGCGTCATACTCCTTCTCATTCTGACACACAATCAGAGGAGGCCGCCCATAATTACAATCCTGCAGCCTCTTCGCCGTCCAGATCGGGCAACCATCACTCCACTAACTCTTGACCACTTTGAGATCCTTCGGCTGGTGCTGCTGCTGCTGCTGCTGCTGCTGCTTGGGCTGCTGCTGCTGCTGCTGCTGCTTCGTGGTGGGCCTGCCCAGAAGCTGCTGGAGCTTCTCAGGGACCTGCTCATGGGAGGGCCTGTAGCCCATCTCGTCAACCCTCTTGATCAGTACTCTGACTTGATGCAGCAGCTTCGAGCCTCGATGCTGCTTGGTCTGACGCCGGGTTTGAAAGCCGCCTCCGATTCTCCCCGCGAGAGTGCGCAACGACTCCTGCATTCTTTGCATCTCATTTGCAAGGTCACGACGGCGCCCCTTCACTGTCGATGCTTGCGCCTCCCCTTTTTTGTCGCCGCCTCCCACCGGCGGAGATTCTTCAGGGTCCTCAGAGAAGGTAGACGCCATCACAGTAGCGAAACTTGGTGACTCCGTGATCTCCCCGTCGACGGAATCATTCTCGCTGTTCTTCTCACAGTGCACTGCGCGGAGAACTCTGCTCAAAATTGCAAGCATGATGCACCCCAGCATCGCGTGCACTCAGATCTGCTTCGAGCAAGGGGCTCGACCCGCGTATCCCACGAGGAGGGCCTGGGGGTTGCACGTCATGATTGGAAGGCCCTGGTGTCCCCTCTGGGCCTTCTTCGGGGCGTCTTAGGGCATCTTGGCAGCGTCCGCGGGGCGCCTCGGGGGCTCCTGGGGGGCCTCGTTTCCGTTTGAGGGCGCTCCTGGGCCGTCTGTCGCTTTCGGAGTCTATCTCGGGGGCCTCTTTGGGTCGTGTGGGGGCTTCCTTAGGCACCTTGAGGACCGCCCGAGGGCCCCCGAGGGCCGAGTTGAGGTCCTATTGGACACCTTCCGGGCCGTCTTAGAACAAGCTTGGGCCGTCTTGGAGCCCGCGCTGGACCGCTGGCAGGCGGCCGCGTCTGGCAGGCTCTCAGGATTTTGCCTACGAGGGGCCTCGGGCCACCGAGCTGTGGACGACTTTCGGCCCAGCTAGTGGCGGGGCGTCCAGCCACCTAGCTGCGCCCGGCTAGCTGCAGGCGGGGCGTCCGGCCACCTAGCTGCGGCCGTCTTTCGGCCCATCTCTGCACTTCCCTCGGGTGCGTTGAAGTCGGCCCACGCTCCTGGCGGGTGAGCAGGTCAGCTCTGGCGCTACCTGGAGACGCCTTACCTCGGCTAGACTATCTTGAGTTGCCGACCGAATTGGTCCGACAAGTATCTTCTCTCCCGTGGGTGATATTGACGGCTCCCCTGCTCCATATGTCAGTCGATGGTTGTGCTCGCCCCAACCCTATGGCCCGCAGGTGATAGTTTTGGCCACCTTGCTCTGGGCCCGCATGTCTGCTTCGTGATCCATCAGGTTGTCCTCGTCCAAAATGGAAACACCTCGACCGAATGCCCCCGAAAACTGTCCTCTTAAGCTCTCGGCTTGCACGAGAGCTTAACCGCAGGGGCGCGGTGGCGCTCTGGGCTCGAACAGGCGGCGTTGACGGCGCGCGGGGCACGGCTGACCTCGCGAAGAGGGTTCTGGTCGCGGGGTCAGGGGGGGCTTATCAGAAGACTCCGCGGCATGACAGTTGGCTGCGCGAGGTCGTTGTTGGAGAATTCGGGGGGCGATGCAGGAAAATTGTGCGACCCCCCCTGAGGGGGGGAAGTCGTCGCCCGGAAGCTCGAAAAGGCGAGAACCCCAAACATCACCAGCCTCGAATTTATCCCTATCCGTAAGGATGACACTCCAAACGGCGATGACAGTCTTAGGAATGCGCCCTCAGAAACAAATGGAATCCCTGAGATCGTCATCGTGATGAGGCGATGCCCAGCATAGGGACAGGAACATGTTCCAGGCTGGTGAAAAACATGGAAGAAACTGAGGAGCAACCATGAGCTTTGTCTCTCAGGGCCCTCGTGCGGGCCTCTCGGGGCCTCGGTCTGGCTTCCCTGGGCCTGTTGGGGCCTCTTGGTCCGCACGGCTCGAATTCTCGGTTCGTGTTCCCCGCCTTGGGCACCCCTCTTGACCGTCTTGGGTTCTCTTGGAGCGTCGGAAGCTCGAAAAGGCGAGGACCCAAAAACATTGGAACACCTTTTTGGCAAGTCGATGACTTTTGCGTCTCGGATTCTCTCGGGGCCCTCTTGGGTAATATTTTTCTCATGTTGGGGCATCCTGGGTCCTTGGGGCCTCTTGGGGCGGAAGGCTTGATTTGTCGGTTCGTGTTCCCCCTTTTGGGCCCTTTGGGTCGTCTTGGGGCCCTCTTGGGCAGTCTTGGTTGCTCGTGGGCTTTCTCGGAGCCCTCTTGGAGCCCTCTTGGGCCGTCTTGGGGCCCTCTTGTGGACGTCTGCGGCCGTTTTGGTGTTCTCTTGGGGCCTGTCGCCACGTCGGAAGCGTGAAAAGGCGAGAACCCCGAACACGTTGGAATCTCCAAGGGAAGTCATTGATTGGTGCATCTGGAGGCCCGCCTGGGAAGGATCCTGAGGCTCTCCTTGGGACGCCTCGAAGACCTTAGGGGCCGTCCTCAGGCCCTCTTGGGCTGCGTCTGGGAGGCATCTTGGCCTCCGGAGCGCCAGCCAGTAGCATTTTGTGCGAGGGATTGTGGCCTCGAGAAGAGGGGGCGACGCATGCGACCCAGCGTGAGGAGGAGGAGACGGAGGAGACGGAGGAGACGGAGGAGGAGGACGAGGAGGACGAGGAGGAGGACGAGGAGGAGGAGGAGGACGAGGATGATGAGGAGGAGGACGAGAAGGAGGAGGAGGAGGCGGAGGAGGAGGAGGAGGCGGAGGAGGAGGAGGAGGAGCAGGATGAGGAGGAAGAGGAGGAGGAGGAGGAGGAGGAGGAGGAGGAGGAGGAGGAGGGGGAGGCGGAGGAGGAGGAGGAGGAGGAGGAGGAGGAGGAGGAGGAGGAGGAGGGTCCTTAGAGTATCACATCATCCCTACCAGGCAGCACTTGGCAATTTAGCACGCCCCAACATGCCAGGCGGCACGGTGGAGGATCTCGGCCCCGTCCGATCACCCTCCTGGATCGGGATGGACCCTGTGAAACCCAAAGGAACAAGTATATGCCCCCATCTATACAGTCGAAATCGAGGATAAGGATGGGTCGGCTTTCCAAGGGCACCAGTGCATCCTTGCCTTGCCTGTTATTTCCATCCTTAATTAACCACTTTCGAGCCCCGCTCGAAGAGCTTTGTCATGGACGTCCAATGGGCTTGTATCCTTGCCGCGCATCCTGGCTGGCAGTTCTGACTGTAGCGGGGTTGAGTCGGCCAGTGGGGCCGAGGCCGGGCCAGTGAGGAGATGGATCGGTTGAGCAATGCTCCGCCGCCGCGCCGGCCGGATGCCGCGCCGCCGCGCTGGCACCGCCGCCTCGCTCGCCCGCGGTGCCCGGGGCGGCCGTGCCGGTGCGCTCGCCGCGGCGCTCGCCGCTGCCGCGGCGCTCGGGGCCGCGGGCCTGACCGCCGCCCGCCACGGCGCGGTGCAATCGGCCTCTCCCGCACTGGCCGCGCCGCGCAGCGTCGCGGCGGGGCCCCGTGCGGCGGCCGCGGTGGCCGCGGCTTCGCGCCAGGGCGGGGGCCGTTGCGCGCGCGGGCTCGCTGCCGCGGGGGGCGCCGAGGGCGCAGCGGAGGTTGCTCGAAGAGCCACCAAAAACGTAAACATGACTTCTCGGAGGTCCGCGCGGATGTCGTGGATCGGCGCTGGGCCCCCGAGCGGCGCCTCCGGCGCCGCCTCGGGCGCGCTCCGCGCGCCAGGGGAGGGGATTTAGCGCAGACCCGAGGATTCTGCGCAGACCTCCGACAGTGTACGTTTATCCAATTTTTTCTTCTTCCAGCTGCGGCCGAGGCTGCGGCCGAGGGGGCGTCTGGCGGGGAGGCTTTGCGGGTGCAGATGGACAAAGCCAAGTCGAACGTGGCGGCGGCGCAGGCGCTCTACAACGTGCAGTCGACCACCACCGCGGTAAACGAGGAGGCGGTGCAGAAGGCGTGGGCGGACCTTGCGGAGCAGCAGTCGTTGCTGATGCGGCTCACCACCGAGCTTGCCGACGGCCGCGCCTCGATGCAGGCGGAGGTGAAGGCAGAGGCCGAGGCGAAGCAGCGCGAGGCCCAGGCAAAGGAGCGCGAGCTTCAGGAGGCGCTGCGCAAACTTGAGGCGCAGCAGGCAGCGATGCGGGCGGAGGCAGAGGCGAAGGAGCGTGAGGCAGAGGCAAAGCTGCGCGAACTGCAGGAGACTCTGCGCAACCTTGAGGCGCAACAGGCAGAACTGAGGGCAGAGGCGGAGGCGAAGGAGCGGGAGGCAGGGGCAAAGGAGCGCGAGGCAGAGGCCAAGGAGCGCGAGGCAGAGGCAAAGCAGCGTGAGGCGGAGGCCAGGGAGGAAAGGCTGCAGGCGACGGTGCGCAGGCTCGAGTGGAGCCTCGAGGGCAGGGGCAAGGAGGTGAGCAGGGCGGAGGCCAGGGAGCGCGAGGCGAGGACGAGGGAGCGCAACCTGGCGGCCCTGCTGGAAGACCAGGGCCAGGCGCTCGCCGAGGCATCGAGGGCGGCGGCGGAGGAGGAGCGGGTGCGCGGTGCCGCCGCGGCTGCGCGCTCGGACCTGCTCCTCGCGATGCTCAAGGTCGTGGGGGACCGGGCCCAGAACGCCACCGGCGGCGAGCCCATCCCGGACCTGGCCGAGCAGCGCGAGGCGGCCCTGGAGGGTGCGCGCGCCAACGCCCAGAGAGTCACCGAGCTGGAGGCCGAGACCGAGCTGGCGCGAGCTGAGCTGGAAGAGATGAGGGCCTCGCTGGAGACGGAGAGGCGTGCAGATCGCGGCGCTGCGCTGGTCGAGGCGAGGGCGCGGGCGAAGTTTTTGGACAGGGCGCTGACTAGCATAGCCAGCGAGTCTGGCGCCTTCGGCGCCGGCAACCTGTTCGGGCTTTTGAAGCGTCGGAGCAACGACGAGGTTGTGCAGGACATCCTGGAACGTGTGGACAAGCTGAAGGCGCGCTAGTGATGGCCACGTCGGCAACTTCTCTGAATTCCCCGCCTTTCAGCCTCGTCCAGCCCGGCTGCGCCGTGACTTTGTATCCAGAGAGCCCGGTGTCCCAGTGAGGAGGAGCACACCTCACAGGAGGACGAGGGGACAGGCAGGACGGGGACATATTCTTGGTCGTTGCGATTCTAGGCTCGACGAGGGTAGCTCAGGTGGAGAAGCGAGGGGAGGGGGAGCATGATGTTGATGATGCTAATTATGATATTGATCATGTTATTGATGGTGCTGATTGTGGTGGTGGTGATGATGATGCTGATGATAATGACGACGATGATGATGCTGATGATGATGCTGATGCTGCTGATGATGCTAATGCTGATGATGATCGTGATGATGTTGTTGATGATGCTGATGCTGGTGTTGCTGCTGATGATGATGCTGGTGCTGATGCTGATGCTCATGATGATGCTGCTGATGCTGGTGATGCTGATGATGATGATGCTGTTGATGATCTTGATGATGATTATGATACTGATGCTGCTGATGACGATGATGTTGATGATGGTGCTGATGATGCTGAAATTTGATGATAATGATGTGCACTATGACGATGATGCTGGTACTGATGATGCTGATGATGATGGTGATGATGCTGACGATGATGATAGTGTTGCTACTGATGATGATGATGCTGATGCGTATGATGATGCTGATGCTGCAGATGATGGTGAATATGATGATGCTGCTGATGATGCTGCTGATGTTGATGATTATGATGATGATGATGATGACGATACTGATGCTGCTGCTGATGATGATGACGATGACGATGATTATGATGATGATTGTGATGCTGATGACGATGCTGGTGATGATGCTGATGCTGCTGATGATGATGATGACGATGGTGATGCTGATGCTGATGATGCTGATAATGATGATGACGATGATGGCGATGATGATGATAACTATAATGATGGTGATGATGATGAGGATGCGGATGATGATGATGATGATTATGATGAGGATGACGATGAGATGAGGATTTGATGATGATCCTGATCATGATGATGATGATGATGGTGATGCTGATGTTGATCTTGATGATGATGATGATGATGATGGTGCAGATGATGATGATGATGATGATGATGATGATGATGATGATGATGATGATTATGATGATGATGATGATGCTGATTATGATGATGATGATGATGATGCTGCTGATGATGATGATGATGCTGCTGATGATGTTGATGATGATTATGGTGGTGGTGGTGATGATGATGATGGTGGTGGTGGTGGTGATGATGACGATGTGGTGATGATAATGTGGTGATGGTGGTGGTGATCATGATGATGATGATGATGCGGCGGCGGCGTCGGCCGAGGAGGCCGAGGAGGAGGAGGAGAAGGAGGAGCAGGAGGAGAATGAGGCGGAGGATGTGGACTTCGGCCCATCCTGCCGCTGTGGTTACGTGGGTTGTGGACCAAATGCCTTTCAGATGCCTCTTGGGGTCTTCTCGGGTGCCTCTTCAAGGCCTTTCGGGGGCTTCTGGGGAGCCTTTTGTCTTGAGGTCTGCTGGGGGCTTTTGAGGGGCCTCTGGGGCCTTCCTGGGGGCTTCTTGGTGGGCTACTGGGTGCCCTTCAAGCCCCCCCTTTTGGTCCTCTCTTCGAGCCGTCTAGAGGGCATCTTTAGGCGCGCTTGGCAGTTTGAAGGCCGTCTTGGGCTGGGTGATATTGAGGGACTCTGGAGCAAGATCGAAAAGCTGAAAGCTTAGCATGTTTTCATGGTTGTAGTGACCTCCAGCCAGTGCCGCCGATCGGGGGCATAACTAATGTTATCGGGAATGGACGGCGACGACAACGCACGACCAGCGATCGACGAGCGGGATCATTACGACGACGACCGACGGACGGGGTAACGACAACGGTTGACGATGACAATGCCGACGACGATGATGACGACGATGATGACGACGCCGAACACGAACACAAACACGAAGACGAAGACGAACACGACGACGACGACGATGACGACGACGACGACGGCGACAATGACGACGACGATGGCGACGACGACGACGACGACCACGACTCGTGTCCGAGCAATACCACGCCATATACTATGCACCTCTTGCCTGGCAGCGCGCGAGTGGGCGCCTCTTGGGGCCTCTGGGCTCTTGGGGGCTTCTGGGGGTTCTTTCGGGGCCTTTCTGGGGCTTCTTGGGGTTTTCTTGGGGTTTTCTTGGGGGGCCTCGTGGTGATCTCTTGGGGGCCTAGGGCGGTCTCTTGGAGTTGTCTTGGGTCGGAGGACTGGAAGGGTCAGTTCGGGTTCAACCTCTTAAGGCCACTGGGGGGCCTCTCGGGGTCGTCTTGAGAGCTCCCTGGGCTATCTTGGGGCCGTCTTGGGCCGTCCTGGCTCCTCCTCGGGGCCTCTTTGGATGTCTTGCGACGATCTGGGGGGCCTCGTGGACCGCCGTCGTCGCTTCGAACAAATGTAGCAAAATCTAACAAAAAAAACCGTCAGGATTTTGACGATTTTGCCATACTGCCCCTTCCCCCCCTCTTCCGGAACCGGAGAACTCACTCCCCGAGCCGGAGAACTGGCGCACCTCCCCCCATCCCGCCTCCGGAACCCGAAGAACTCCCCCCCCCCCTCGGAACCGGAGAATTGGCGCCCCCCCGCCCAAACCCTTGTCCCCGGCAGAGCAACCCTGGCCCCCCTCCCAGCGGAGCTGAAGCTCTTACTCTAGGTTGCAGCCTGAGCTTTAGCTTCAGCTTTTTGAAACTCACGCCGAGTCGGCGGATTTGGGTGTCGTGGGTCAGCTCGCAGAGCCTCCAAGACGGCCTAAGAGGCCTCCAAGAGAGCCCAGAGCTCCAGGACGCCGCCCTGGGACCACAACGGAGTCCCAGCACGCCGTCCTGGGAGCATGTTGGCGTCAGCATCGCGTCCAGGGCCTCTGGAAAGGGCACGCGGCGATCCCTGGAAGCGTCCGAGACAGCCCGAATATCGGGGGTCTGGGGCCGTGAGTAGTGATTTTCCAATATTGGAGCCTCAGTGCTGAGGAGCCAATATTGGGCACTTCGTGCTGATTCTGCGCGTAACTAAATCTGGTCTTCACGCAGGGGCTGCAAAACACTGCGCTCAATGCCTGCGGCACGGTGGCGGATCGAGATTGATGCAGCAACACGGGCCTCCTCCGAATCCAGTGATCATCTGGCAACGACGATCCACGACCCACGATTTTTTACTTTATGCATGCGCCGAATAATAAAACACATGAACTTTGGGCGCTCTGCGCTGATTTCTTGGATGCGCGCTGGGCCGCCTCCGGCGCCGCCCCTGGCGCGCTCCGCGCGTCAGGGAAGGGGGTCCAGCGCAGACCCGAGAAGTCCGCGCGGAGCGCCACAAGTTTCTGCTTATATGGTTTTTCTTTTCCTAATGCAGATTTTTCTGGGCCTCTCCGGTCCGCATCCTCTGCCTGCGCTCTAGCCCTCCTCCTTCAGCTGACACGCGTCGATCTTCGAGGACGCAGTGCCTGCCATCCACGCCCCAGGCGTCGCACTGTCTGAAGCATGCGATTGACACCTGTACCCCAGGCGCTCTGTTTGCCTTTTGAAGGGATTGCAATTGACACCTGTGCCCAGGGCAATCATGTGACCCAAGTGCTTCCTTACACCACCTGCCTCCACTTTTCGATACGTATCCAGGACTTCTTTCGGGCTCCCCTCTTCAACAGCGACTATGTCCAGAAGGAGGTGCACGCCATCGACAACGAGCACGCCAAGAATGTGATCTGGGCAGGCAAAGCGGGAGTGGGGCGATGGGATCTCAAGGCGCACGGATGAGTATCGGGCGGAGGAGATTTGATAAGGCACGATTGTGGGTGGTGGACAGCGGCAGCAACATGGAGGTTGTACGGCTCGGGCAGCAAAGCGTCTCAGCGGCATATGAAGCCAGTGTCTAACATTGTTTCGGGAGAAGGATCCAATCATATGCACACCCGAGTATCGCAAGGCAGGCGACAGGGACGACGGAAGGAGAGTCTCCGATATGGGCCACGAAGCAGGTGAGGGGTGTGCCAAAGTGGGGCGGGGTTGCCATGCGAGCGCTGCCATTGGGGCCTTCGGTGGTGCCCCCCGATGGGGCCACGAAGCGTGTGAGGGGTGCAGAAATGGGGCGGGGCCGCAATGCGGGCGCTGCCACTCGGGCATTCGGTGGAGCTCCCCATAAGGCCACGAAGCGTGTGAGCGGTGCCGAACTGAGGCGGGGCCGCCATGCAGGCGCTGCCAATGTGGCCTTTAGTGGAGCTCCCGCTATATATATATGGTTTCGCTGAGGTTGCACATGGTTGTCAGGAAGCAGTGGTTTCGAAATTGTTTTCTGTGGAACTTGTGCAGCATGCCTGGTAGAGCAGCATCGTTTTGTCTTGGATTCCAAGTGCAGTTCTCCGATGCTGCTGATGATGCTGATGATGCTGACAATGCTGCAGCTCTATTTTTCATGCCCACGGGGTGTTCTCTCACCATTTCGTATAACCATAAGCTGTGATACTCCCATCGGTGACCCCCCAGAGCTTTTCGTATGAGCCTGGATGCGCACCGTGCCGCTTGTTCATCTGTGTTTTTACATACGTTTATATACACACCGACAAGCTAGCCAGCGTTGACCCCGTATAGTGCGTGTTCCAGCAATCCATGTCGTGCGATACGTTGTTGTGCAACCGATGTGGGCGATATAAATTGTGCTAGCTATGTGGTGCACTGTAGGTTGTGCAATCTATGTGGTGCAGTCTAAGTGGTGCAAGTTTTGTGGTACAACCGATGCTGCACAATATATATATATATACTTCTACATAAATATATAGATATGGAATGCTACCTGTGTGGTGCAGTACATGATTTACGACTGGCGTGGTGCACGTTAAGTTGTGTATCGTTGGTATGCAATACATATTGTGCAATTTCGGTATTGCAATATGCATTGTGCAAGCGACGTGGCGCAACTTATGAGGTGCAACATGAGTGGTGCAACCTACTTCGTGCAAGCAATATCTTGAACCCTGTGTGGGACACACTTGTTCTGATATCAATGCTGTGCTACCTCTGCTGTGTGGTTTAGATTGGACAACCCATGTTGTGCTGTACGCGTTGTGCTCTCTATGGTGTGTAACCTTTGGGGGGATGGGGAAGGGGGGGCAACATAGGTGGTACAATCCATGGTGTCCAATACATTGTGAGCGGTAATGCGGTGCAATCTGTGCTGTGTAATGATGCGCAGTCTATGTGGTGCAATATGTGTGGGGCACTTCGCGAGGTGTCATATGTATATATATATGTATATTGTGGGTTCTATGTAGTGCACCTGGTCGAAACACGAGTTGGCACATCCCGTGCTCTTGCAAACATCCCACCCACCCACCCGTAATTTGGTTTGCAAAACCAATAGGGTGGCGATTGTGATGCATGCTCGGCGTTGGCTGGTGCGTCTCTGCGGCCGCGCCAACCCAAACACGCGCGCGCAGCGGCCGCTGGTTTGGCGCGACCGGCGCGGCCGCGGTGGCGCTGATCGTTGGGCACATACCAGCGGGCATTTCATTGCGAGTCGGCGACTTGGGCGGGCGCGGTATCATGGCAACGTCGACATTGGCAGACGTTGCGGGCGAGTCTCTAACGACTTCGACGACGACGACGACAACGACGACGACGACAACACCGACGACGACGACGACGCTGACGTTGACGACGATGACGACGATGACAACGCCGACGACGACGCCGACGACGACGGCGACGACGACGACGACGGCGACGACGAAGACGACGACGACGTCGCCAACGAAGACGACGACGACGAGGGAGGACGGAGGACGACGATGGCGACGACGACAGCGACGAGGGCGGGGGGAAGACGACGACGACGACGAAATAGGAGGGACAACGACGAAACGCCGGCGAAGACGACGAAGGAGGAAGGACGAGCACGGCGACAACGACGACGGAAACGACGACGACGCCAAGCCGACGACGACGACGACGAGGAAAGACAGAGGACGACGACGGCGACGACGACGACGACAAGAGAAGGAGGGGGGACGGCGACGCCGACGACGACGACGCAAGAACGCGCGCGCGCTTTTGTTGAACATTCGTGATGCGAAACCTTGTGTTCTTGTTTGTTTTTAGCGCGCAATTTTGAATCCCTTCCGAAACCGAAGGTTCTTTGAAGGATTCAGGCATTTGCGCGCGACGACGCGCGCGTCTGCACTTCGCCCCATTTTTCGCAAAGGGTTTCTTGCGACGGCACGCGCATGACGTCCTCTTTGTTGTTGGTTTTTGTGTGAAGTGTGTATATATATATATATATATACATGCACACACATAAAGAAGTATGATACATATATTATAGAAACAAAATAGATTCTCAAGACAGGCCGCGCGCAAGGGCGCTCGAACTATTTCGACGCGCGCGCGAAGCCCGCTTCGTAGCATCATTTGAACATGTTGCGCAACCTTTAACTTCCTCGAACTCGCGAGAGCACGCCCGCAAGCTTGTTGTCAAAAGTCATTTTGCGAAACCATGTGCTTTCATATTTTTGTGACATTCGATTGGTAAATCTTTACGGCACCGGTTGTTTTTGGCGGATTTCGGCATGCGCGCGCGCCAACGCGCGCGCGTCAACGCGGTTCGTTGCAAGGGGCCTTTGAAAACTGAACTTTTTTGGAGGGATCGATGCCGGTTGGCCTGGGATGGTATGAGCTCGCTAGTAAAGGTGTTCTGGTCGACTTGGGAATGCAGATCTCTTGGTTCAGACATGAAAACGGATACGTTTGAGGTTTTTTTTTGGGGGGTCTGCGCATCATGCAATTTTCATTTGACTTCCAGGGGGGGATCTGCGCATCATGCAATTTTGCATTTGAGCTCCAGGGGGGGGTCTGTCGCCGCCGCTGCCGGAAACGGCGACGCCGAAGACGGCGACGGCGACGACGACGACGACGCCGGCGGCGGCGGCGGCGGCGGCGCCGGCGGCGACGACGACGACGACGACGACGACGACCCGCGGGCCCGCGGGGGTTGCCGGGCCCCCCGAGAGCGACGCCACGGCGCGTCGTCTCGTCGCATCGTGCCTCTTCAACTTTTCGTTCCCCGTTTCATCCCCTTCCCCCTCCATCGTCCCCCTCTGATTCCCTTCTCCTTGCCTTCCTTTCCGTTTTCCTCATCATTTTTTTCCTGCACCTCCGTATATCCCTTCCTCCCTCCTCCCTCCTCCTCCCCCATCCCTCCTCCTCCTCCTCTCCTCCTCCTCCTCCTCCTCCTCCTCCTCCTCCGCCTCCTCCGCGCCGCGCCTTTATCGGCCCGCGACGACGGCGCCGCGGGCCGCGGGCCGCGGCCCGCGGTCGCCGCGGCCGCCGCGCCGCCGCCCGCCAGCCGCAGGCCTGGCGGCGGCGAAGTGGGGGGAGAGGAAGGAGAGAGCAGCGAGGTACGAAAGTGGGACGTGGGACGGGGAAGTGTTGAAGGGAAGGGGGGGGGAGGAATGAGGGATGAGGATGAAGGGGAGGAAAGGAAGAAGGATGGAGGAGGGGGGCGGGGGGGGAAAGGGGGGGGGGCGGAAGAGGACGGAAAAGAAGAGAAAGAGAGGAGGGTCGGAGGGAGGGGTGAAGAGAGAGGGAGGGGGCGAGGGAAGAAGGGGATAGGGGGGGGGGTGGGGGAGGAGGATAGATAAGAGAATGTGGGACGAGAGGACGGCAAGGAGGGCGCGAGAGGAATGGGGGGAAAAATGGAGGGTGGAGTACTAATGAGTTCGATGGTGAGGGGGGGGGGGGGGGGGGGGGGGGCGGAGGGCGGGCAGGAGGGGGGGTGGGGTCACGAAGGCTGGGGAAGGGGGATGAGGGAGAGAGAGGGAGTGGGAGGAGGAGAGGGGGGGGAGGAGAGAACGGGCGGGCAAGGGGAAGTTGGAGATAACGGGACGAGGTAACGAGAGAGGTGCAAGGAGGACATGAGGGAGGAGATAACGGGGGGCGATAATGAGAGAGAGGAAATAGGAAATAGGGATTGAGGGAGGAGATAACGGTAGGGAATGAGGGAGTGAAAGAGGAGAGCAGACATTTGAGAACCACGCCCACGGTTTCGCCCTGCTCGCGCGCCGTCCGGACGCGAGGCTACTGAACTGAACTGCAATGCCTAACCACAAAACGCATGCCCATGCCCAGTGCTCACCCGCCACCCGATGCCTTGCCGCCCTGTGCATCATCTCTGCTATCTCTCCTATCCCCCTCCCTCCTCCCTCCCCCTCCCCCCCCCTCCCCTCCATCTCCAGCTCCCGCGCCACCGCGTCCCCAGGCGGAAGAACGCGTTGCCAGGCCGGGGGCTGGGCCTGGGCCGACCAATCCTCTTCTTTATCCCCCTCCACCTTCTCCCTCCTCCTCCTCCTCATCATCATCATCCCCTCCTCCCTCCTCCTCGCCATCATCGCCATCACCGCCAGAATCGCAACGTCGCAACCCTCATCACAAAATCATCATCCTCATCATCATCATCATCATCATCGTCGTTATCACCATCGTCATCGACATCGCCATCGTGATCGCCACCGTCAACCGTCAGCCGTCAGGCTAGGTAACCGTTCTTCTCGCCCCTCGCCGAGAGCACGCCGCGCGCCGAATCCCGCATAACTGCACGGCGCCGATCGCAGAAGCCTTTTCCCCTTTCCCTTCCCCTCCAAACTCCGATATGTTTCCCCCCTCTGCCCGCTGCCCCCATTCCCTCCTCCAGGTCACCCCGTGCCCGCATGCCCCCCTTATTTCCCCCCCCACCCCCCCGTTTTCTGACATCGTCAGCCCCCCTCACCCCTCGCAGATTCTCATCATATCCATTCTCTTTGTCTCGCCTCTCGTCGTTGACCTCCTCCCTCCTCCTCCTCCTCCTCATCGCTCCTCCCCCTCCTCCTCAACCTCCTCCTTCTCGTCCTCATTCTGATCCTACTCCACCTCCTCCTCTTCCTCTTCCCTCCTCCTCCTCCTCCCCCTACCCCTTCAGTTCTCCACCTACTAATTCCTACCTGCTCTCGCTGAGCGTCTAGATTGCCGCGCAATCCCCTCAGGCCTCAAGCGAGCACCCGAGGCCCCTCGGCCCTCGGCCCCTCGGCCCCTCGGGGCCTTCACGCCGCCTTCTTCGACGACAGGGCGTCGCGGGCGGCCGTCGTCAGCGCGTTCGTGCTCGAGTGCTGGATCAGCGCCCTGCGCGTGTCCGACAACGGCGACTCCGTGTCTTTGCCGGCGCCGTCCTCTTTCTGGTTGAGCAGCAGGACGGCCTTGGCGCCGCCGAAGTCCGAGTCGCCAATCTGCCCCCAGAAGAGGTGCCCCGGAGGCAGATATATGCCCTGGCCCGCCTCCTGCCTGCCATGCCAGACGGCATGGCCCTGCGCGACGAAGGTCTCGAGGTCCTTGGCCGTGATGTCGCGCAGGAACCCCGTGGTCTGCTTCGCGTCGTATTTCTTGCCCAGGCTGTCCATGCACTGGTGGGCCGCGGCACCGCTGACCACGACGAGCTTCTTGCTGCCGCCGATGCACATCCTCAGCGTGGGCAACTGCCCCAGCTCGAAGGCCGAGGTCTCCAGCTTCTTGTCCACGACGAAGATGCTCGGGATCAAAGCGCACCGCAGTGGGTCGGGCTTCATCTCCTCCGGGGTCAAGAGCACCCGCTGGGACGCGTGGAAGAGGGACATCCGGACTTTCTCCTAGCCCTCGGCGGCAGTTGGAGCGAGGGCTTTCTGGCCCCTGCGATTCTTTGCCTTCTCCTCCGTGCCTGGGAGGCTCTCCAAGTAGGCTATGCACTGCCCGCGAATCTCCATGGGCGCGGGGATGTTCCCGATCAAGCACGGCACGGCCGGATCGAACATGCCGTCGGGCTCGACGTGCGTCTCCGGAAGGTCCACGACGTTCGCCTTGGCCTCGCTGCCCGCCTGCGCGACGAGCGCCAGGACATGGTCGCGCGCCGTCTTCTTGGCCGCGGCGTCGTCGTTGCCTTCGAGGACCCATCCAAGAGCTAAGCCGCCCCCCGCTGTCAGATCACAATTTCCTCCACCCTCCACCCAACGCGCTACCTCCACCTCCACCCACTCCCCCTCCCCCCTCCCCTCCTCTCCCACACCTCCCTCCATCCCTCCATTGGACTCCGCGGAGGCGCGGTGGCGGTGGCGTTGGGTGATGGGCGATGGGGGAGGCGCCGGGGACGTCGGGCGGTGGGTGGGTGGATGGGCCCTGGCCCCTGGTCCTCCCATCGCTCCCCCACCCTCCACCCTCTCCCCCATCATCCCCATCGGTGCTATTGGCTCTAATCCCGCGTCTCCTCCAGAGGAGCTCTTCTGCCTCGCCTGCTGAAGCGCTGTGGCCGCCCTGGCCTCGGCCGCTCTGACCATCGACTGGGGCTCCGTGAGGGCCGTCTTGTTCGCCTTCCAGCGCTGCGACACCGCTGAAAGCTCCACCTTGGACATGCACCTCTTGATCTCCGTCGGGATGGCCTGGGGCTCTGACAGTGTCAAGAGGCCGCGGCACTGGCGAGATGGGGGCATCATACCAACGCCGAAGGTGCCGTCACCGCAGTTGCCAGCATTTACGCCGACCTTGGCGATGTACGCGCGGAGCCTGGTGGCGTCTGCTTCATCGCCTGCCACCACGATTGTCGACGCATTGCTTAGCGGCAGACTTCGCCTTCGGCTTCGCGAAGGTTCTCGGCGAGCGTGCCTCAACCTCGGCGTCGGTCGTCGCTCCTCTCTCCAATGCCGCCTTCATCATTTTCTCCACCTCGACATCGAAGCCCAACTTTTCCCTCGCGAGCTTGAGGCCCTCCATGTACTCCTGAATGCATGGAGCCGGGCAGCTCTCCGGCGGGGGGTCAGGCAAGAAGTTGTTCTTGATGAACTCCTTGTCTTCGTCGGAGATAATGAGAGCCGGCAACGGGGCGTCAGCGCCACCTGAGTCACCCTCCCTCCTTCTCTCTCTGTTCTCCCCCCTCCACCCTCCTCCTCCTGTTCCTCCTCCTCCTCTCCTCCTCCTCCTCCTCCGCCTCCCCCTCCTCCCTCCTCCCACCTCCTCACCCGCTCCAGTCGTCAGTCATATCCCCATCTCCCTCCTCTCCCCTCCCCCCTCTGCCTCCAGCCTCCAGCGCCACCCTCTCCCCCTCCTCCTCTGCCCCCCCCCCCATCTCGCCCCCCCCTGCCCAGTTCCCCGCGCCAGGGGCCGACGCAAGTGAAGAGGAGGCCGCAGCGCCCGCGCCGCTGCAGGCAGCAGGCCCGCGGGCCCGTGGGAGAGGAGGAGGAGGGGGGGGGGGGGCGAGCGGCGAGGAGACAAGCTGGCCGATAATATGGGAGGCCAGGGGCCAGGGGCCCAGAGCCCAGAGTAAGGGGTAAGGGGTAAGGGGTAAGGTAAAGGGTAAGAGGGTAAGAGCTATCCAGGAGGCTCCCCAATGGTTTCCAGATTTCCCAGGGAGCTCCGAAAAGCCCCCCTCCCCCCAGATGCATCCGAGAGCACTCCAGGAGGCCCCAGTAAAGCATCTCTAGAGCCCCTCATATGATCCATGATGCTTCTGACCTGCGTCGCGAGGTCAGGGGGCCAGAGGGTCGAGGGAATGGCGCGAGCCACTCGGTCGGGGGTCGGGGTGAGGGGTGCGGGGTGGATGGCATTGGGCACCGCATTTGCCATTTGCCAGCTGCAGGGCGTCCTTCCCCCCCTATCCCCTATCCCCTATCCCCTATCCCCAATCTCTCTCGGCGCAGCCTAGGGCCTAGGGCCGAGGGCCCGAGGGCCGAGGGCCTAAGGCCTAAGGCCTAAGGGGGGTCGCAATTCCATAAGAACTCCCCACTCCCCCCTCCCCCCTCCTCCTTCCTCCTTCGCCTTCTCCTCCCCCTCCCCTCTGCCCTCTACCCTCTACCTCCTCCCTGCGTCATATAGCTCAAGATTGGAGTTAAGGGCCCGAGGGCCCCGTCCTGACCTGGAGTGCCTGGCGCCGCCTGCGTCTTCTGGCCCTCCTCCTGCTGCTCAGCCGGCTGCTCCCCCTCCTTCTTGGGAGTCGCCTGGTCGCCCGTCGCGGCCTTCAGCTCCATCGCGGCATTGACGCTCTCCGCGCCGCCCTTGACCAACCTCGGCGCGTGGAGCCTGTTCCTCAGGATGTCCGCGTCGCGGCAGCACGTGGTCGCGATCCCCGGGTCGGGGGCGGCTACGGCCTGTAGGGCGATCTTCGCCTTGGCGATCAAGCTCACCACGCTCTCATCTTGCTCGCCGCTCCACTTCTCGTGCAACTTCATGGCGTCCGCGATCTTCGCGTCCCTCTGGTTCCATACCGGCCTGGCCGCCTCCTCGGCGGCATTCTCGCCGGTGCCGGACTTCGCAGCACCCCCGCTGCCAGGCTCTCCACCGGCGCCGCTGGCGCCGCCATCCACGTCGGCCTCAGCCGCCGCCGCCGATGAGGCCTTCTGCTTCTTGGCCTCGCGAGCTTCCTCGTCCTTGTCGTAGTCGGCCATCGTGGCCCGGACGTCGCCGACCTTCCGCTTCATGTCCGCCAGCTCCGAGCCAGAGCCCCCGTCGGCGAGGTCGCCGGAGGCGGCCGCGAACTGCTTGGCCACATCCAACATCTTGGAACTGCCTAGCCCAGCCAGCTCAGATGCCTCGCCGAGCCGCGCATTCTCCAAGCGATTCAGCGCCTTCTTCTGGCCCTCCTCGGTCGCGTTGGTGACCTGCTTGTCGGGGAACGATGCGGCCTCCAGTTCGCGTTTAGCCAGGCGGTCCACGAGCAAGTCCTTGACTTTGATCGCCACCCTGAGGACGCATACACATCCAAGGCCCCGCTCCGCACCCCCCATCCGGCCCCCCATCCGCCCCCCCCCGCCCCCCCCCACCCCCCCCCCGCCCCCCAACCCCACCCCCCCCCCCGCCCCGGGCTTCCCGATCGGCTGGCTTGACCCCCCCCATTCCCCCCCCTCCGCCCCCCCCGCTCCCCCCCCCCCCCCCCCCCCCCCCCCCCCCCCCCCCCCCCCCCCCCCCCCCCCACCCGCTCTCCCCTGACACCAAGTCCCAAGTCTAACTTGGCAGTTGAGGGAGGGCAGAGAGGGGGGAGTGGAGGGTAGTGGAGGGTGGGTCAAGGGTCAAGGAATTGGGATGGGAAGAAAGCGCCCAGGCCCGAGGGCAACCACAATAATCCCGATATTGCCCTCTTTTCCTCCTGGCCCTTCTCCTGCTTCCTGCTCTCCAGCTCCCTGCTCTCTGCTCTCCCTCCTCCCCTTCCTCCTCCTGCTCCCCCCCCCCCCCCCATCCTCCTCCGCCTCCTCTTCCAGGGCCCGGGGGCCTCTGCGCATACTTCGGGTTCTCGCCGAGCAGGTCGGTGACCGCGCCAGGCTTGTCGTACCTCTCCCTCCACTTGGCGCTAGCCTCCGCGGGGCCGAGCCCGCCGTTCTTGGGCTTGCCGGCCCAGTGCTGGAAGGCGATCTCCGACATCATCCCATAGATCCCGTCTTTGATGATAGCCTTCTCCATCTGCAGCTCCTTGCGGTACTGCATCAAGGGAAAGGCGCCGCGCGGCCCGTTCGTAATTTCTTTTTTCGGTGGGCAGCGCAAGTTGCACTGCGCGATGAGCTTGAGGCGGTTATCCGGGCCCGCGACGTACTCGTTGAACCACGTGACATCCTCCTCGCTGCTAAACCTCAATGTCATGTTGCGGAGGTTGTACAAGGGCAGCCGGCAATCCTCGCAATCGTTGCGCTGGGAAACGAAGGAAGTCTTTGGCTTTGCCTCTGCGCACGTCCGGCAGACGCGCTCGTTCTCCCCAGGCATGGCGGCCTTGGCCTTGCCGTTCGCCTTCGAGTACTTAGCCCGCTTCGTAGGCTGCGCCGTTGCGGCCTTGCCCTCCTCGGGCGCCTCCTCTGTTTTTTGTTATGGCCCCTGCCCTTCTTGCCCTTGCCCTTCTTGCCCTTGCCCTTGCCCTTGTCGCCGCCGCCGTTGGCGGTGCCACCTGTGCTGGCGGCGGCCTGCCCGTCCACCTCGAACTCCTCCATTAGCTCGTCCTGCTCTGGGTTGACTCCCATGGTCGCCGGTCGCTGACCCACGGACCGCGGACTTGGCGATGGCCCCTGAGAGGCCGCGCTGGTGGAGTGCCGCTGGGCGCTCGCATGCTTTGCGCCGCAAAGTGCTGCGGGGCAGCAGGCAGGGCCAGGCAGGGGCATGGCAGTGGCCAGTGGCCAGTGGCCAGGTGTCCGCGTCCTCCTCTCCTCTCTCCTCCTCCCTCTCCTCTCCCCTGCCCCCCCCCTCGCCCCAACCCTGCCCCCTGCCCCCTGCCCCCTGCCCCTCTCCATCATCGGTGGCCCCGCGCGCAACCTATGGCCTATGGCAGGCAACAGCAATGCTCGTTGCCCCCTGGTAGGTTGGTAGGGTAGGGCATGCGGCATGCGGCATGCCGTGAGAGCGCTACAAAGTTTCGGGGGGGGGGGGGTACGACGTGAGAAGAGGAAAGAGGACGCAGGGGGCAGGGGGCGGGGGGCAGGGGGGCAGGGGCGAGGGATGAGAGCAACAACATAGGATTGGCATCGGCTCTGCTGCTCGCTGCTCGCTGCTCTTACACGTGCCTGGTGCCTGGTGCCTGGTCTCTTGCGCTGTGCTCTTTCCTTCGCCCTTTGCCCCCCATGCAACTCTGCGCAGCCCCCTGCAACGCCGCGGGCCCGAGCGAGCAACCTATGGCGCAACAATGGCCGCCA